ATTATAAAACAGGTGCACAGCATAAACAGTACGGTCAGAAAGTCTCGCAATCAAAAGCCTTACAAGCAAATCTAGCAAACACATCAATAACAAAACTTAAGAGAGCTTTTTGCTCTAGTTTCTTACATGCAGCAAATTAACATAAAGGCACATACTGAAATGTTTGACGTTCAAAATAAAATGGAGAGGCACCTACTTGATTAAGTGAATTTGTTGTTCATATTCCTTTTAAACTTCAGCAGGAAAAGTGAAGAATGAAAAATGGCCCGTCAGAGCTCTAAACAACTCCACAGTGGTTGGGCAGTTAACTTCCTGTGGCCAGTTCATTAGTGCATCAAAGCACTTAAAGTGCGAGGTCCTTTAAGACCTCTGCATAGAAAACAGAATACTTAAATTAAAATGTATTTTTAAAGATGAACGTTTAAAAGTAAAACATCTTTACAGGAAGCCACTCAACTTCCTGTATGTTTATAGTAACAACAAAAGTAAACCCACAAATGTTTTTAAAAAAAACCTCAAGCACAGACTAAAATTAGCAGTTATATGGCTGAGCTCTTTAAAAGTGCTCCGATAGTTTTTTTTCAGTCAACACTAGATCCTCGAGGCAACAGTTAAAAAAATGTTTTCTTAAGATTTCTGTCAATAAGACCTTTGTAATTCTGTGACCAAATAAATCAACTGAGAATCAATTCTCATTAACAGTAATGACCTTGAAAGTAAACATTTAACACAGCAGGACATATACTAAAACTATTTGTATCCTCAAGAACACAGGAGCCCATCTTAGATTTTCATCCAATTTATTGAAATAAAATTAATAGAAATGAATTGGATCTTACGGCTTGATTTGTACTATTTGATTTTTTATTGAACAGTTTGAGTCCTCAAGAATACAGGAGTCGGAGGATATCGGAGGAGGATATTGGGTGAAAACCAAGATTTTCACCCGATCAATTTAAGTAAAATTTCTGGTCCAGCTTCAAGAACCCTAGGCACTATCTCTCTTGTCACAGAGAAGAACAATTCTGTTGTTCACTTGAGCAAGGTGCTGCACGCAGATTGCTCTAGTAAAATACCCAGCTGTTTATAAACAGTAGGTACAAGGTTGCTTTGTCAGGCAATGAAAATATCACAAGTTAAGTAGCCACTGGGTAGTTAGTGGGGCAGTTATATATGGCATTCTCAATGTTCAAACAGCATTTTAATAGCACAACATACACAACATAAATCATGATCTTTTTTTGAGGACCCTGCTCACGTCTCAGGTACCAGAACTCCTATTAACTAAAAAGTCCCTAGGAAGTATAAAACCATATTAAGGATAATAGTCCCTAGATCCGCTGAGGACACTTACTATAGGATCGCGCCATGAGTTTTTCGGTGTACACATTTGGCCCCTGCAGTCGACTTCTGCCAGAGACTCCACCTTCCCAGCTTGGGTTATGATGTCTGTAACCACAGCTCAGGAGATTGCAGCTGGTTCAGTAGCACTCAGATTCGAGTCAGTTTTGTTGACCCTTCCATCAGAGCTACCATCTCCATCTGGATCAGCATCACGTTTCTTAAAGCTGCTCTACCGAGACCGAGACTTTCCTGGCAGTTCCTGATCGTTCATTTCAGCTGTACTGGGTTTTTAGTAACTGCATCACTAATCACTTCAATCTACTGTACTTTCATCTTCACCAGGCTTTGCATCTTATCAGGCTTCCTGATCCAGGTGCCGAGGGCCTTTGCTCTCTTCTGGTTTCATTTCCAGTGCAGCTTAATTATTTAACTGAAGCCTGAATTGAACCCAAAAGTTGCTTGATCGGAACATTTGCAATTTTTTTCAACGTTCTTAATTTGTTTGGAATTTTATATTACTTAAGAAATGCCATATGCTTATTCCTCTCTCTGGCAAAACAGCTGGTTCCACAATTTCTGTTTCTGTTTTATAAGGCAAAAACTTATAAATGACATTAAAAATCCCCATTGAAATACTGTGCATGTTAAAGTCTCCATTTCATTCCGAGGGCTCATAACCAGACATAAATCAGTTGAGTTTACGTGCTTATCTGATGTACAGTATTTGAGTAGTTTGGCACCAATTAAGTATGTGTTACAACAAGTAGAATTTACCAACATCTCTTTTTGATGCACACTTTTATGTTAGCATTTAAGAAGCAGTTATTGTCTAAATGAAATTTGCATATAGTCCAAATGAACACCAAATACTGTATGATGAACAAATAAAAAATTCTGACTGAAAAACGTTTACTATGCCAGTTACTGTAAGAAATATTGTGCAAAGATGGAATAAAACCAATAACTGTTAAATTAAGAGCATCCAGCGATATCAACACTGTGCATTCACAGAATAAATCTCAAGATAAAACACTTGTCTAAAATGCTAACATTTATGAATCAGTTATTTCTACCAGTTATCCATTCTACAAGATTAGTATATCATTACAGTTCACCATCATACGTGCGAACAACAATGACTAAGAGGAACAAATAACAAAAGCTTGTATTAGCAGGGGAAGTTCAGTCGTCTAACAAAAATCAATGTGTATATGTCATGACTCATTTTAGTTTGTGCTTGTTTCATGAAAGAATGAGTGCAGTTAGAACATACAGTAACCACCAACCTACCAGAATAACCCATCCATCCGTTTTTCCAACTGCTTTTCCAGCACAAGGTCGCGGAGGGGCCAGATCCTCGAATCTCGGAAAGCAACAGCACAAGGAAGGATACATCCTGGATGGGATAAGGCAGGCAGGTAGACACAGTCTGCCTGCCTTATCGACACTCACACGCACACTCTCACTGGGCCCACGTTTTCAGAAAAGGCCTACCAGCACGTCTTTGGTCTGTGGGAGGAAACAGGAGCACCCAGAGGAAACTCACTGGAACATAGAACAAACGAAGTCCAGGCAGATAACCCAGGTCTAGAACTGAACCCAGGGCCTCAGCGGAGCTAGGCAGCAATGCTAACCACTCCGCCACCAGGCTGCTGCTCCAAATAATCAAAAAGTTCAATTGAAGCCCATGTTAAAGTGAATGAGGGGCTCAGTTATGGAATTGTGCCAGCAGGTGTATGGGCCTTCAGGACCAGGAACCCATGCTCTAGGTCTCCAGGCATACCTATCTTCTTTTTAATCAGAAGGGCCAGAACCATTCTTCACCACGGTGTTTGTGCACCAGGTTCTCTTTCTCAACCTACATTCCTTCTGACTCTGTGTATATTCATACTACTTAGCACTTTATAAAACACGTTCTAGATATAAAATCCAGAATTTTCATAAACCATCCTATAGTATAGGAAATGCCAACAAAAGCAGATTGGGTTCTAAGAACTTGCGTCCATGTCTTCGGCGTGGCAGTCACAGGACTCAAAGGCAGGGGCTAGTCACTCAAGATCAAGTTTCTAATCGATTGCCTTTTCAGAGTTTTATTCAGAAGTCCTACTGACAATTCTAAAGAGAATGAAGAGAGTGTAACCAGACTCCAAAGTTCTAAACAAAAGTCCAAAGTCAAGATTTTTATCTATCCAAATTCAGTAAACCATGAGAATAAGCCAGCATAGTGGATAACATTCATACTTTGATAAGTACAAACAATCCTAACTGTGCATTAAAAACTGTAAAAAAAATAGTAGGATAAAATACCTCACAGGTGAATGGCAAATCAAGGCACATGAGTCCCGGTTATATGAAGATAGTATATTTTTTCACTGGATCTAGAATTCAGTTACTGTTGACAGCCATTGGTAACAAATTAATTGACATTATTTCAAAATGTGACCTGAATTAAGTGGAAAACTGTGAACTTTGTTTAAGTACTGTACGGTCGACATGGTATAGCAAAACCCTGGTCTCGCCACGGGCAGGAGCAAGAATTTGCTCAAATTGCAATGTGAAATAGCCCTTCCTGCTCACTAATCACTGTAATGACTAAATTAATGAGATGTACGAGCAAATAAATACAGGTCATCCAGCAGACATTCCACTGCAGGAATGTTCCAACGTGATTCAAGACTGAAGTTGTACTTGTTGGCAAAACCATCCTGAAGTCAAGACCACTTTTTCTATTGGAATAAAAGAGATGTATTCACAACCCTGCTTCTTTACAATGCAATAGGGCCGCTTCACGTCATCGGACGTTTGGTTGCCTCATTCTGAATCGCAGAATATGTTGCTACTCATACCTAGAAATTGTCTAGTTTGTGATGTAAAGTGGAGGTTTAAAACATTACTGTGTACATTTTACTTTCATCATGGTTTGAAATGCACTCAATGCCAATTCTACCTAACGTTGAAACATAATAAATAGCGTTGCAGTTCCCCCATTTAAATATAATCTAAGAAGGGTTTTCCCAGTGCTGAATTTGGTCCAAGGTTTTTTGGATTAGGTACTATTCTTGGCAAAATTTAATTTGCAGCTATGACAATTTACCAATCCTTCTAGCTTGGTATCATCTGCAGACTGACTAGACTGCTAAAATTCCAAGAATATAGATCATTGATATAACAAGAGGAAGAGCAGTGGTCCTAACACAGACCATTGATACAGTATACTGCACCCATTACCCCAGTCTGAGTATTCACCCCTTATCTGTACAGTTTCCTAACCATTAAATTCTTGCAAAGCAAAATACCTGGAATGCCTGTAGTCTGAGAATTAATTCTATGAGAACCAACCAAAGGCCTTCTGAAAAAAATTAAATATACTCTCATACACTCATTTTTATTTATTAATGCTGTTAGTTCAGAGCATTTTAGCATTTATAAGACACTTCTACTGAAACAAATGGTTATCAAGTGCACTGTTGACGTAAAATCATAATACTTATTTTTCAGCACACCTACAGTATGTTTGAGTTTCTTGTTGGCCACTATTGGAGAACATGCCATGTAAAACAGTTTTTGTTTAGATAGCTTTTTCAAGCTCTAGCATGTGGTGTCAGTTATTTAACATTCACATTTTAACATACATTTGGCATTAAAAAACATTTAAATTCTATCATTTTTTGGCATTTTATTTTTCTCCTGTACATTAAACAGAACTGCAATAATTATGCTTGCTTTAGATCCTGTGCATGAAAATACAACTCTCACAACTTTAAATACTTAAGGACTTAAGAACATAGACAAATTCCTCAAAACCTTTATGCTCATAACAGAATCCTTCCACTCACAATGCAAATGGAGAACATCATCAATATTAAGAAAATCTTTTACATGACTTAAATGATTAAAGCAAAATGCAAATTTTAGACTAACGCAAGATACTTTTGTTTATAGGTTCTACAAACAGAACAAACAGAAATAAGCTAGTTCACTTGCATGCATCAATGTACATGCATCACTAATGTAACACACACTAGAGACTTTGCTCTGAAAACATTCTGAATCTTTTAAATCAGCGATTTCCAAAAAGTTCTCGGTACACAAGTGCTTGCTGCTAATCAGTACTTTATTACCATGTATATGGCTGTGAAGGACTTCCTTCTAAGTCCTCTTCATGATGTGCAGTTATATACAGAACTGGTCACTGACTGGCGACTTCACAAGCCAAGAACCAAAGCCACTATCCCCTAGACAGGTCTTCAGGACGATTTTTGCTTCTTGATAGGACTTTGAGGACATCTAAAAACAAAACAAAAAAAAATGTCCTTTCATTTTAAAACTGTAGGTACTGTGTGGCTGTTTGTCAATTAGTATCGACATCCTTTTCTCTTTGCTTAAAGGAGGTTACTAGTACTACCGAGGTGCAATCTTCCCCATTTTGTATTTTTAAGAAAATAGACTGTGAAATCTGCATGACAATTTGGTAATAAATGTGCTTACTCTGTTCTGCTAGGACAGTCAAACTAGTAAACGCTGAATTCTTTCAGAGTACATTCTCCTGATGCTGATGCCTCCTGATACAGTATGCACAGTCCAGAGTATATTATCAAGATCCTAACTCTTACAGTTATAGGCAACTAGGAAGCATCTCTAAGATAAAAGTTTAGATCAATTGTGTAAAGCCTGGCAGTGTAAACTTTCCAGAGGGGATTTTTGCCGAGATGTAGGTGGTCCAGATCCTGTGATGGCTTGGTTTACCTAATTTAGTTGTGGATAAATCTCCACAGAGAAGGAGAGGAAAAAAACAAGAAGCCTCTGCTTCATGATCATCCAGACAAAACCAGATAAGACCTAAGTATTTGAACCTTTCTAAAGAGGGCTTACCATTATGTGTTTTTAGGGAACTTGGGTTTCCCAAGTAAAAGACACTTCATCTAAAGATGGCCTTTCCTGGTGGGGGGGTACTTTTTAGATTAGATAGGATCCCATTTATTTTGTGGCATCCAGGTCTCTGTAGGCTCTGTATTAAAGAGTCCTATACAGTACCTGGTAGCAGTCTGGGGTTTTCTGGGTAATTAGAAAGTTAAGCCTTAGGAGTGGCTTAGGAGTGGCTTGTCTGTACATACTGTATACACAGAGTAACTTGTGTGTGGTATGTTTATGTTGTGTCACAGTCATTGTAAACAAACATTTGTTAAATCAAGCGTGACTGGATTATTACTCTTCACCAAAGCTCTGCCAGAGAACAAAGAATTCACATGCCTCTAATTATACCAACTGCTCGGGTATATTCTGGAGAAATCACTTACAAGTTGGGGGTTATTAATAAATATTTAAGTTATTGTCTAAAAACTCAGTCAATTCCTGATATTCACCATTTTCATACCCATATTTGTAGCATAACTTTTGCCATTTCTAAAGACTTGCATTTCACCATTTCTTTCAAGTTCGAGACATTGATAACAATACCAATTATACAGCTAAAGTGATAAGAGTAAAACTATATTATCATTTTACCTGGATTTGGACTTTTGGCAAAAGAAATGCATTTTGAATAAATGTAATTTTGAGCAAACAGCTACAGCAGGAAATTGTCTATCAGCATCACTCTGATTTCAAAATGGACATTAAAGTGAGGGAAAAAAGCTAGAAAATGGGAGGTACATTTTTAGAATGTTTCACGCAATCTACAGCACAACATTAGTGCGATACTTAGCTCTGACAAATGTGATTTAATAAATTAAAATATTAATGAAAAGTACATTTGACATAGCTTTTTTTGGTGGAGGCTTACAATTTCACTAATGAAAAGGATACCAAATAAAACAAGAACTATGGAAGAGACTAACCATTGAAAATAAACATCTGGCCTCCACTGTGATGTACATGTATACCATATTCGACAACCCACACAAATGTTTCAGAACAAAGACAATTACATACTTGCAGTATGAGATCATACTTCTAATTTTTTAATTAACAAAATCTGTCACTCTAACCTGGTATGCAACAATCAATTTTACATCACAGTGAACACTGTGATTTTTATAACATTTTCAGATTACAGAACACTTACAACCTGAGGAAATATGCAGATGATTGAGAATCATTATGTAATAACATTATTCAAATTCAGATTTTAAAACATTACCTTCTTTGTAATGACTCAAACATTATGATGGCTGGAGTCACTGACTGCATGCATTCCACAAAACAAAATTTCAGGGTGAGTATCACAAATTTAAAACTAGAATATCACTCTAGCATAGGACACTGGTAAAATCAAAGCAGCAGATGCAGTACATGAAGTCTGTTACCTTTGCTTCATAGTAAGAGGTAGCATGAAGCAGGTCTTCTCTTTCAGCCTCTTTGGCAACTAAATTAAATCGGCTCAGCATTGCAGTTTTACACAGGCGACTTGCCAGAGCCACACCAGTTTTAAATGGTGACCTGACAAGGAAGACAAAATTAAATTACTCCTCAATTACCAAAAAATGAAGACCTTTTGTATTTCTTACAATACTGTACTTTCTTGATCTGAAGTTGAAATTGTGCAGTCGCCTTACACTTCTAAACTCCTCGTCTTCAATTTTGAGAATTCAGTACTCTATTAGGAAAAGTGTCAGACAGATTGCACAAAAATGGATAAAGACTTCAAACAAGCCTGTCCTCTGTATCCACACACCGAAAGACACGAACAGACCCCATGCTACAAAACAATAAGTCAGAATAATATTATTCTGAATATTCTAAAGAGGAACAAACTGCCCAGAAGCAAGTCGATTTCTGCACCTTGTTTCTTCAGCAGATTAAACTTCACAAAGTGAGAAAGCAGAAATGGGTAAGTTAAAAAAATGTGAAATTCGACACTCAAAAAAAGTTTACACTGGCAAGTAAAGAACAAATCATAATACAGAACATGTTGTTAATGTTAAAATGTTATTTGTACAAGTCTCATGATTAACGATGGCTTAGTTCCCTACCTTTCCTTTAAAGAATTCCTATTTAGTATTTTACTACTTCATGTGACCGTATTTCTATAAACAACACAATCATACTAGAAATACATCATTTGTAATACTGCTACACTTTCAGTGCCAAGCCAATAAAAAAATAGAAAATCTACAGTAGATTTCCTAGTATCTTCAGCAGCAGAACACAAATGGCACAAAAAAATTAAAAGATGTGGTTAGCTTTGTCAGTGTGAAAGGGCAAAAATTTTTTGGGAAATTGATTAAATGTTTTTGGCCAAATTGTGATTAAAGAATCATGTCTGATTGTGATCAACACTAAATAACCTCATTAGCACAAGGTTTAACAGGGCCTAAATGAGAGGAGATTCGACTTGTCAAGCCCTGTGAAAAACAAGAGGAACACAGAAAGGAACTAATCAGGAGTATAGTGCTTCAAAGTCTATAAAGTCACCTCACCATGGACCTAAGTTCTGGTAAACAATACATTTATAGCTTTACACAGACATTCCCGGTTTCCACAGATATCCCTCTTGGGGTCAGTGAGAGGGGAAGAGATGAGTACAACAATACTCTATTTATTGTGTACACCAAACCAATCGATAGGGAAGGTCCAAGTGTGATAGACCAGTCAATAATGTTCGCCTAGTTGCTACACATCTGCGCTTCATAGTAATCTGATCATTTGGGGCTCCACTGATCAAATCCAGGGATTTTACATGCTCCCCGTCCTCCAGGGAAGGCTGAAAGATGTATGAGCTGCACATCCCAAATGCAAACATCTAGAACTTAAGTGCAGAGGATGCATTTCAGATGTGTAGCTTGTACACCTTTCAACAAGAGAACCCGTTACTAGCCTGCAGCTTTCACAGGAGACTCCCTTTTGCTGCCATATAGGCAGATAATGAATTGACCTGCCTCACTTCTGCTCAATAAAATGTCAATCCACCTGCTATGAAAGACTAATTTTCCAAACCACTGAATATTTTGTGATGATAGGTTTATCACGATTCTCAGTACCTCTCATGATCTTCTGTATAAATTGTGATACAAGGGAGATTTTCAAACTACTGCTCTCCTAATCACATCAGGTTCTCAAATGTACCTGTACCACTTCCTAGTTAGACCACATGAACGTTCCCTTTTAGAGGCTAAATTTTGCATACAGACTGCACCAGTTCAAATAGAGCAGGACACTTACTCTTCAACTGTTTTCCCTGTTAATCCATCCACCAGTTCCACAGAAATATCACCCTTACTCCAATTCATACTCAGTGCCCTCTGGCCTGAATTCACTTCTGTTGTGTGGACAGCAGAAGCCAGGCTGATGTGAGGTCTGTACACACAGTAATACATGGGAAGCTTTGAAGTGATCCCTTCAACCCGCTGTTTGACAGCAATCTCGAGTCCACGGACATCACTGCAGCTGGCATCCCCTGAAGGTAACAAAAAAAGTACAGCCGACTCGGAATTTACGCAGGGGTTAGGAATTCCAAGAAGCATGTAAAGCCGAAATTGCGCACAAATTTTACCCTACAGCCTTTATTAAAAAACCCTACGAACCTCTCACAGTAATTAATCTAAGTATAAAAACAGCAAATAAAAGCAAATAAGACACCTGTATAGACGAACATGCTCTCATAAGCGTGCTTGATTTTTTCACAGAATTCAAACCTTTATTTCGAATATTTTTAATCTTCTGAACGCTTAAACCTGCGACCGCATAACTTAAGTTATACGTAAGCTGTGAGTCAACTCGCACAGTATTACAAAGAAGAGGCAGTACGTTTTTATACAGTACATTATTACCACAGTGGATAATGAAATGACAATTACACTTACAGTATACTCCCCGAAGAAGGTTCCAAAGGACACATTTCAGAAACCTACCTATTAAAATGCTTCCGACATAGATGGGCTCAATGAAATGGCTTAGGAGAGCTCCCTGCAGACCAAGCACCTGCCATTGAGTAATTTTGTCACTTGCTGACATGCTCACTATCTTGGTGGGCATCTGGGTTAATGGAGAGGAAAACACAGAGAAGACTTTGCCTTCTATCGTCACATGCAGGCCAATCTGGTTGTTCACTTCCCAGGCAGAAATAGAACATGGGTTAAAATGTCTGAAACAAAAATAATTAATGTCAAGGAATTTGCAGATATTGAGCAATATCTCCACATTCTGTGATACCTCCTACAATACACATGCAATATTACTGTATATATTGTTAAATAGTGTTATTTAAAAGGGTTCAAAAGCATCTAAAATGTATTGACTAGAGTAATGACCATTTAAAATGCTTTATTACTATGCTACTGCATGTTATTCAGTAGGTACTTACAGGCGAGGTGGAAGCTGTGCAGACCCCTTCGGCAGCTGATTCATGTACAGATGGATAGTGATGTTTCTTTTTAAAGTGAGAAGCTGGGAGTTCAGATCCAGCTGAAATATTGATTTCTTTACCATTGTGGATTTTTTACTGTAAAACAGTAAAAGGTGCCGGTACAGGTACCTGTAAAAACAGTTACACACGTCAGAATGCGGCAAATCCTGAAAACCAGTAAATAAGTCAACAAGGCATCCTGTAGGAAGGTTCCTTCTTTAAGGACAAGTGAATAGATAACAATTACATGCATTCGCAATAATGGGTCTTAATGTTTGAGAGTTCTAAAAATCTGCCTGTACCCTCCACTTTTAAGGTTATAGGTTTATGGTAGTTACAGTACTTAACTAAGTTTTAACATAGTTAATAGTTTCTAGGCTTTAAGAAACTATAAAAGTTCAACCCATCTGTAACACATTCGCCTTGACGGCAGCATTGCAAGAGGACACACAAAAAAACCCACCTAAGCAGGGCAGAATTAAAGGCCCAGAGAACCACCCCAGGCCCAGTCCTACCCTCTAGTTACCCTTCTATCTGCACGTTGAACTCCACTTCAGAATCTTGTAGCAGTGGAAGATTCTCACCCAGTCGATTCGGACTGGCTGGACTCGCTCCTTACCCGTCTCTCTTCTTACCCGTGAGCCAACACGGAAACGACCAAGGCTGCTACTAAATAAGCAAAGTCTTAACCTTCCATTCCCTACAGCAGAGTATTTTGTAGCCTTCTATATAACCGTCCCCAAAGGATCTCATCATCCTCGAGATCTCTCACGCTCACTGCCCCGAGTGACTTTGGGGGTCTTGTAAAACAAACTCTGACTCGACACTGAGTGTTCTGACAGGGTGCAGCCGGTTCCCCAATTCCCTCTTGAGAATGTGGGGAATGCATCCCTGGGACTGTCACAATGCTGCCTCTTGGTGGTTCAACCCTGTATAGTGCCAACCTATCCACTCTAGCGCCCCACAAAAAGTCTAGAATTAAAAACATCCATGCTGTAACTCTTAATATCAGTCCCCTTCAGAAGATTGTTTTTTCGGATGCATATCAAGCAACTTGCATCATTTGGCTTAACACCTCAATACCTGTTTTACTTACAGTATCTCCCTATTCCCCACTTCCCAACCTTCATTCTTCTAATTCTGGTCTCCTGTCTGTCCTCCAAGCTCGTCTACACTCCTCTGCTGATGTGGCCCTCACTAGCTACACCCCAAAGCTCTGGAACTCCATCTCTAAAGATATCAGAGAGTCACCTTGAGGCCTTTCAAATTAAGGGCTTTCATTTAACTGGTTCTGTGGGCCCCTTGGGTAATTGTGTAGTTCTGCAGCCTCCTCTCATTGTGTATTTTTTCTTAATGTACAGTGCTTTGAGAAGCCACTTTTAAAGGCACTACATAAAATGTACTATTTAACAAGCTTAAAACACATCAGTATCTTAAAATCCACTAAAATCCATTTTCTTTTCACAGCCTTACAGATTTCATTCTAATTAAAGCCTTCAAAGATTCAAATCTGCAATGGAGAAAAGTATTTGGACATTAAAAATTGTTTTAAAAGGCCAATCCAGACTGTACTGTATATCAACATCTAAGATCAGGGTACAGAAGAGGATTGAGATGATCAACGAACTCCATAATAATACATCAAACCCAAGCAATAATTGAGTTGTAAAAATAGTTTTAATGATTTTATTCTTTTAATTGAGAAGAATCAATGAATGAGGCATTTTAGAATATTTATTCTAGCAATTTAAAACATCAAATACGTTCAACTTCATGAACACACAGCAGATCACATCCATTTGTTACCAAAAAAAATTAAGTGCAACTGTTCGGCCGAAACAACCAAAGATAACTGCAGAAAAAAGCATACTGATATCATAAAGAAAGAGTAGCGTCCAAAGAATCTCTAAAAACAAAGCCAAAAATCTGCAAAATGAAGACATCTGTCCATTGCCCCATATTTATGATTGGAAAATACTTCGGAGACCCTCGTCATGCACTCCTTTGTTCTGAAGTTTTACTTCACCAACACTGCTTTAGGAACTGGTATCTGAAAGATGTTTTCAGCTCCTTACAGCTGTAATGTGAGCCTTCAACAACGAACACAACCTTTCCTCCTACCCTTTTCCAAGCAATGCTATGAAACGGGTCTTATGAGACATGTCGAGGTTGTGGAAATTCCTGAAATGAATGAGTCATGCCGTAGAGAAAATACATTTATAATAAAACAGTTGAAGAGTTCACTTTACTTATGTACTTTACACAAGTTTATTTTTGTTAATTTGTAAGGATGTCAATGTTTTCCCCAAACAAATAGGAAAGGGAGCATTAACACTTAGAACGTTATAGTGCTTACGTAAAGACTGATAGATTATATTTATTAGTAGAACATACTGGGGCACTAAGTATCAAAGGACTCTTTAATACTACAATCACCAATTATGTTTTTTTTTATAACCACACAATTTGGAATAGTCTGTGTCAGAGCTCACACCAACAATGCAAGTACTAAAACGGGGAGAATTTGGAGGTTCAGACAAGCTCCTCTGATATGCCACCTATTGAATCATTCAACTTAGGACATACCAAAAGCCTGCACTGACTTGTGCTGAACATTTAGGGCTAGATGCATCCTTCACTGATGACCATGAATCATGGTTAAGCCCAGATCCCAAATCTAACCCATGCAGCAGTAAAAACAGGGTTCAGACTGAACCGATCACACACTTGTCACCACACTCGATATGCAGGGCCAATGGAACATCCCACATACTGTATATACACACTTTCCATCCAAACAAATCACTTAAGCAACTCTTTTCGCAGCTCGAATAACAGCTTCATGTTTGATCTACCACACCTAAGACCAACACAAAACTGGACTGACCAGGCATGACAAAGTTTGCAGTCCAACAACTGAAAAAATGTCTACAACAAAGAGGTATCCGTGTTATATATAAATGGATGCCATTTCTAATGTAATTTATCTGGCTGACTAAAGTCATTATTCTAAGTTACAGCAGATCAACTCCATTAAGCTGAAAGCTGAAAGATTTAAAGAAATCTGTACCAGATAACTAGCCCATGGATTCTAATTTATGGTTTTTACCAGGACTCACACTTCTCTCTAGACTGTAATAAATCATTACACCAGAAGACCAAGTCTCCTGGCATCCTTGGGAGAATTCTACACTGTCTACTACACTGTCTACTGTTACTGGGCAGCGGAGCACTTTTAGCAACAGACTGCTCCAGCTACGGTGTTCAAAAGAACGTTTCCACAGGTCCTTCCTCCCGGTGGCTGTCAGGGTGTATAACGCTGCCCTAGGCTATGACTTTCGGGATCAATAAAGTCTTTTCTATCTATCTGATTCACAACATCCTTCACAATCTCCTCTTTGTCCTGGTCTAATGGCATACGAGTGATCTGGTACCTGTTCATCCTCCTGAGAAAAATGTAAAATACCAGCCTTTCCTCCACAGCTGTCGTTGTTAAATTTGACAGGAGTTCTCCTGTGTGAGTAATTCCTACCCAGAGATAAAGGTAAGCACATCCTGACATCCAACAACAAGCATCATAAGAGATCACAAAGTCATTCCTTAACAGGCACTGCATAAAACTAAATGGCAAACAAAAAACCTTTGTTGAAGGAGAATTGCAGTCCCAATTTCTCAGACCGGTAATTAAATCTTGGTAACAAAATCAATTTATTGACATTATAGAAAAAAATCACAAATTTCAAACTAAGCACAAAATCGTGAGATCTGAGAAAGTACTGTTATCGCAAAGCCCAGGTCTGGCCACAGGCGAGAGTGAGAGTTCCCACGAATTGCGACGTGATGTGGCCCTTCTTGCTCGCTAGTCACTGTAATGACGGACGTAATGTGATGTACGAGCAAATAAGTACAGGTTGTGCAGAAGACATTTCACAGGAGAAATGTTCCAACGTGATCTGCATGCAGAGCTGACCAGGAGTATTTGTCGGCAAAGCTGCCTAGAGGTCAAAAGCAATATTTCTATTGGATTAAAAGAGATGTATTCACAACAATGTCATAAGG